GAGTAGCTGGGACTACAGGCATATGCCACCATGCCCGGCTAATTTTTTCTATGTATTTTTAGTTGTCCGATTAATTTCTTTGAATTTTTTTAGTATTAAATGGTTGGAGTATTCAGGTATTTTATATGTATTAGGTGTGACAGAAAAATACTAACGTACTGTCATTTACATTTGTTGCCTTTTGATACCAAAACAGAATTTTTATTTAAAGGGGTAATTTTCTATTTATTTCTTAGGCCTGTGAAAACTATTATTCATGGTCAAATCATATTAAGAAAATTCAGCATCTAAAAATTATATATATTTTTTACAGACTGAATTAGCCCTTGCCAAGAATTATCCAGAAAAAAAAGTATCTAGTACTAACAAAACTCCAATTCCAAGGCTGACCTCCAAGCCATCTAGAGTTGATCGCTTAATTGTGGATGAACTTCGAGAACAAGCCAGAGTAAGCTGTAAAAATATCCAATAGTGGATTTTTAAATTGCTTGATAAAATTTTTAAACATTTCAAAAAGCTCTGAAGGATTTTAAGATCACATTTACATGTAATTCTCTAAATATATTCTTTCCTATGTTTGGTCCTAGAACTATGATTAATGTTTAAGAAGGGAAAATAGCCCCACTTAATCATTTAAAAAGCATTTTTAGTAATTTAAAATTGGCAATGGAGCTAATTAATCCTCAACTGAAAGAATGTTCTTAAAAGCAAAAACCATTTTGAATATTATTTATAGGGAAAATCCCATTTCTTAATCACAAACATTTGTTTTCTAGCTTAATGAACAAGTTGTGCTTATGTTGTGTAAGATGGTAAATTAATAGGGAAGTACCATATTTCATTTTCTTAACTCTGTATTCTTGAGTTATTCAACAAACATGGAAGTATATCCAGCTATGTATTAAATACTGATAAACTCGAGTAGGTAGGTATGCCCAATTTTACAAAATACCTTTGTTTTGGAAAAGTAGCATATCACTTCAAATCAAATGCAAAGAATCCTGAAGTTAAGCCATAATGTAATTTAATGAATGATTATTCCTATTATCTCTTTTGTAAGTTCAGAATTTTCTAAATAGAGTGGCTACACGTTTTCTTTTTTGGCCTTCTTTTAAAAACTTACACTGTTTTCAAAATAAGATTTGGTAAAGATTCTTGGGAAAAAGCATGCAGCAAAACAGGTTACCTCTATGATTGAATAAAACCCATTTTAGGAATTAGAAAAATCAACATAATAAGTGAATCTGTTTTATTGAACATCCATTTCTTACTTGTACCATGCTATCTTTAAAATATAGATATGAACTGCTTCCACGGAAAAAGATTGATTTTACCTAGTTTTCAGCTTTGGTCAGTTGAAAGTCTATTATTCAATTTGTACAATGGAATTTATCCATGGTATATTCAGATACTAACATAGGGTACAGCCAGATTTTTTTTTTTTTTGAGACGGAGTCTCACTCACTCTGTCACCTGGGCTAGAGTGCGGTGGCGTCAGCCTGGCTCACAGCAACCTGGGCTCAAGCCATCCTCTTGCCACAGCCTCCAGAGTAGCTGGGACTACAGGCGTGCACCACCACACCCAGCTTATTTTTTCTTTTTTTTTTCAGTAGAGACAGGGTCTCACTCTTGCTCAGGCTGGTCTCCAACTCCTGAGCTCAAGCAGTCCTCCCACCTTGGCCTCCCAGAGTGCTAGGATTACAGGCGTGAGCCACTGCACCTGGCCAAAAGATCACATACTGTGGATATTAATATACTTTTCCCAGCGTTGCTTATGCTTTGCATTATTTAGAAGGGTATGTTTATAGCTGTTATAATAATTTTATCTATATTTAGCAACCTTATTTCAATAATACACGAGACAAAAATATTTACAATTCTCTAGTTTGCTAGTTTTGTAGAATTTTGAAAAAATCTTCAAAAAAGTTTTT